TTAAAAAAAAAAAAAAAAAAAAAGGTTAAATAGTCGAACTGAACAGAACAAGACATTCTTATAGGAATGTGAGCCCTCAATGTAAATATCACAGTTGCATTTCTTGTACACATGAAATCAAAGCTAGCGAACCTGCAGAGTGATCCTGTTCTTCACCAGCAGTCCAATCTTTATGTCCATCAAGTTCAAGTCTTTCTCCATTTGCTGATTGGAGCGAATATTGGTGACCACCTCTTCTCTGAGCCGCGTCACTTCCTGCTCTTCCTGAAGGTCCAGGGCGCTCTGCTCCAGCAAGTGGACAAACTTACGCACCACGGACAGAGGAGGGTCCTTGGCCCCAGCTAGGATTAGGCACACAAGAAAGTCAGCGGTCTTTTCAACATTCACACACACACAATGTAATCTCATTGTTTGAAATGTCCCCATCAGTTATGAAATATGATGAGCCAGGAAATACAGGAAAAAACATAAATGTAAGAAAAATAGGGAACTATAATTTAAAACCAGAAAAGCACTTTAAATCAATGTAAAATATGGACATAGCTCAAAAACACATTCCCAGCTAATATCATCACAAGATCGATAGTATTTCAATGTAGTATGTATGTTCATGAAAAGGCCTTTCTGACTCACTTAGGGTTCTGTAGTCGTCTCTGGCTTTGTTGGCCTTTAGAAAAGCCTGGATTTTCACAATCTCTTTTTCCTAAGCACACAGAGAACAGGGAGTCTTCAAAACACTGGAACTAAAAACACAAAAGACCCCGTGGAGCGACGTTTGGTTACTTACATGATCTTTGAAGAACTGCAACCTCTGATTGTATTTACGTTTGGCTTTCCACATTTTCACAACAGATTGGATCTATAAAAAAAATGTTTTATGTTAAGTCTTCGGTATCGCAGCAACGTTATTTATGTTAGGTACATGCAGATTCATTTAATAAATGTTTACAAATCCCAGCTACGATGGTTATTTGAGTTTGGGACTGGAGATAAAGCTTTCATCTACAGGGAAGGGGTGCATAGCTATAGAGGTGTCTAGTCTTTCAATAAGCATACTTTTTAATAATAATATTTATGAAAAAGAAAAGACTTATCACCTTGACAATGGAACAGACATTTTTCTGGAGCAAATTCATCCTGTCTTTGTACATTTTCCTCTGTTTGTGACCTTTCCAGCAGGCCTGCAACAAAGGAAACATACACGTATAACAAGTTGTGTTTTGTATCAGTGTTACCACAGCTTGGATAATTAAATTTTGGTGGTTGATCATTTATTTGCTTTTTTTAAGGTGCTGCTGAAAGAATATTTGTATACACTCAGTAGACTGTTTCTAAACAGGTTTGTATGGACATCCCCATTATGACTCATGAGTCCTGCAGGAACACACAGCTGCATAAGAGATCAGATATTCACAGTGGAGCTATACAATACCTGCAACTTGACGACGTGTGGCTCTTGCTGCCGTAGATACTCCATTCTCCGGGCGTGCTTTCTCCTGACCAGGTAACCTCTGACCCTCGCCTGCAGCTGGGTCACCATGGATTCATTGGCCATCCATAACTGTTCCCTGTTATATTCTGCAGTCAAAGAGCTGACAACACCCTAAGGGGAAAATACAGATTTGTTTATGTTGATAAGGATTTGATTTGATTCGATTTATTTTTAATGTGTAAAACAATAACACAAAAAAATAGTGTCAAATTGATATACAAAAATATTACTGATTCTAAATGATATATAAACAAATTATTTACACATCCCAAAAGGGGTGGGAAGAAGTTTACACTTATTTAATCCCACCCCTTCTCGCAAAAACAAACAATCATTAAAAAGCTTCTATAGTGGGATTACTATCTGATCAAATAGGGATCCTGAAAATGAACATTAAAACAAAAGGTGATATATACCATGATGTGATATCAGGATGTTAACAGCCCATAGGAATACACAATGAAGTGAAACTATGCATTAGAGCAGAGGGTACCTGGATTTCCTCTTTACCGAGCTGGCCACCATGGTGTTGAAACCCTTCAGGCTCCTCCCAGGTGCCCTGTCCGGTCTCCAGGTTGTAGTAGTAGTCATATCTGTCGTTGATGCGATGTTTAACCCACACACTCTCAGCGCTGCCTGGAGGAAAGCAGAAAGGGCTCAGTTAGACACAGTGCAGTCATATTGAAACCTACAATCTCACTGTTCAGGCATCAGTTTCCTGAACACTAAGCTTCCCAACATGTATTACTCATGCAGTAAGTATAATTACCTTTATCATCACAGTTTGTTTGTCTTTCCGCCAGTTCTGCCTGGTATGTCTCGGCACATTCAGGGAGCACCGCTCTCAGTCCGGCACTGGGAACCTGCAGAGCCTGCAGTGTTTTCTGAGCGTCCCCCTCGGCCACGGTCCTGTTGATGTCAGCCACTGCTCCAGCCACTAGCAACATGAACAAGATCACAACAAGGGAGCAATCATTGAGTTTAATATGAAACAGCACAATAACCACTTAGTACAACTACAGTAGGGAGTAAGGGGTTATCCTCAACATGTAACACAAATCTAAATATTGTGCCCACAATGATGGCAGTATCTGCACATCTATGCTACACTATGTATTAGGGATGTAACGATATATCGAATATCGCGGTAAATAAATGTCTCAATACCGTCGTGAGACTGACAAAATCTACCGCGATTTAAAAAAAAAAAATCACCTTCTTGGCAAAAACTGTTTTGTTTTTGAAGTGGTGGAGAGACAATGCACAGTTTGACCCACTGCTGTCACCCATGGACAAAGCATATCTCTCTGTCAGCAACATCAGTACCAAGCAAGAGAGTTTTTTCCACAGCAGGGGATATTGTAAACGCCCAAACATCCCAGCTTCTACCTGGAAATGTGGACATGCTCATATTCCTAAAAGATAACCTTCATGATGCTGAGTGAGTGAGTGAGTGAGTGAGTGAGTGAGTGAGTGAGTGAGTGAGTGAGTTAGAGTTGAGTTACTTGAAAAACTAAAGTGAAACTTGATTTATTCTATTGCATGCTCTGATTATTATATTGTTGACACTTTAAAATACTACTATCCTACTAAAATGCTGTACAAATCAGATTTATTATTTAATAAAGCATTTTATTTTATTAAATAAATAAATTCACATTTTTTTTCTTTATTTTTAAATCGCGATATTATCGTACCGTGAGTTTTTGGTATCGTTACATCCCTACTATGTATGTAACTAAAGAGAAAGAAATACCCCTAAGTGNGCCCAAACATCCCAGCTTCTACCTGGAAATGTGGACATGCTCATATTCCTAAAAGATAACCTTGATGATGCTGAGTGAGTGAGTGAGTGAGTGAGTGAGTGAGTGAGTGAGTGAGTGAGTGAGTGAGTGAGTGAGTGAGTGAGAGTTGAGTTACTTGAAAAACTAAAGTGAAACTTGATTTATTCTATTGCAGGGTCTGATTATTATATTGTTGACACTTTAAAATACTACTATCCTACTAAAATGCTGTACAAATCAGATTTATTATTTAATAAAGCATTTTATTTTATTAAATAAATAAATTCACATTTTTTTCTTTATTTTTAAATCGCGATATTATCGTACCGTGAGTTTTTGGTATCGTTACATCCCTACTATGTATGTAACTAAAGAGAAAGAAATACCCCTAAGTGTATAAGAAACACAGCTTATTGTATCTATTCCACTATTTTCTGTCAGTGTTACAGTCTCGTAAAGAATAGATATGGAAGAAGTGTGCAGATATATCTTCCATTAGTTTTGACAAATTGATTATGCATTACAAATAATTACAAACTCTTGCAGAAGAAAAGAGTCTTTGAGGCCAATTTACATTAAATGATGTGACAAAAGTAATGCCAAACATGTTTAGATGACCATCAGGCTGAACTGATATATGCAAGAGCACTTCTGAAAGACTTTTGTTGCTACACGATCAACATTAACATAAAAGTAAGTAAGAAAATGAGTTAGTAGTTAGTGCATGTGGTCAAGAGACATTTGAAACGAGCTACGTATTCATTTAGAACATTAATGAGTGTGTCAGAGCTGTGTGAGGATCTGAATCTAGTTCCCGATGTCCTCCTCATGTTGGGTCTGAATAAACTTTTGTTTGGGTAGTTAAGACATGGATGAGTGAGTTTAAACTCTGGGTACATACATGTGAAAGCCTCCTCTTCATCCTGATTGGCTGTGTGTATGGCCTCTTGGATTTGGTCCAGCCACAGCACTGCAGACTCATCTCCAGAGCTCTACAATCAGATTGAAGCACAAGGTCACTCCTCGTTATTCTTTTTTTCTTGGATGGATTGATCAGACAAACAAATGATGATAATGTATAGCAAGCAAAAACAATACTAACCCGATACCAAATTATAAATATGTTTAATTAGGCCAAAAACATTTGATATCCAATGTTAGAAATAAAGTAAATGGAATTATTCAAAAACATCAAGTTAGGATTGTTGAGATTTTGCTCTACAGCAGTAGCACTACAAAGCAACACTGATAACCAACAAAACACAAGCTGGTGCTATTAAAGCAACGGCAAATAATACACAGTACCATTTCCCCTGTGTCCAGAGGGGAGGCCTGAGGAAAAGGAAAACATGTGTTGACAATACTGTAGTTACACTTCAGAAATATCCTCGTCCCAACATAACTACAAAAAACCGACCCTGCCTGAGAACGTCATTACAACTACAAAGCATGTTTATTCAGCCTGACTTCTGTGCTTGTTCTCAGGCTACTTTTAGAAGATTCTGGTAGGGGCCGGGGTGTATCTCTCAGCACAGGAAGGAAGTCCCCATTAAGACACACTGAGCACAGTATAGGCAGCTTTCTTTTTAGATCTGCATCCGGCCAATCATTTCCAAACCAACGCATCATGTGCTGAAAGAGAGGATGAATGCGCTTGTGTCGTGAGCCCAACAAAAAGGACAAAGCAAACCAGGACAACAAAAAGATGAGTTAACTTTCATTGAAATGACTGAATAACATCTTGAAGCAAAGTCAATATTATATTAATTATCTAATGTATAATTTCATGGTATATTAGAAAACTAGCAATGGAAAACATCTAATGTGAATTTCCTAACAAAGCTGACACTACATTCACCCTTCAATGACTGCAAAATCACATCAAAATACTCATCACCAAGGTAATCAGGGGGATTTGTTCTGGACCACAGCTGTGAATTAACCATTAAGCGGGGTCCTCCCTCCTCAGTGAGTCAGAGGGCAGTGACTGACGTAGGCAGCAGAGAATTCATGTTCAAGTCTGGACAGGAAACATGCTCACTGCAGCGTACAAACAGAAGAGCGCCCCACATACAGTGCACTCACGGGAAGCGAGGCTTGAGCACAGATCGTTATCAGCTCTACTTTTCAGTACAGAAATGCAAAACAGCAAATTTCACCGATGGAGAACTCTTACTGAACAGAAGCAACACCAAGAGGGCTGAAGACAACGTTTCAACTCTGGGATAGAGACTGCAGAGTGACATGGCAGATCTTGTAACAGGACTACTCGTTTGTTTGCTGGCAGTGCAGACCATTCAGCATGAAGGTACGTTTATTAATATACTATTTATGAGAGTTTATCAAAAGGATAAGTGTCTCATAATTAAATACTTGTACTTTAGACTTTTCACGGTAGTTTTTAATGTTCTAACTGGTTAAGGGATCCCAAATCTAAGTGACAAAACTATTTGAGTAAAGCTGCAAATACAATACAGAAGTTAAAACATTGTTTAAAAGATATGTAATAACATTATTTTAGAAATGTCCGTTTTTTTGCATAAAACAAGAGATATAACTAAAAAGTCTCCAGACAGCAGAATGAACTATACACATCCTGTTTTAATGTGGATTTAAAATGTACTTTTATTCTAAATGGAAGTTGCTTTAAAGCCATGTGTGCTTTCTTCCCGTATGTTCCTGCCTGTGTACATGACATAAGCTGCTCATAACCAATTCCCCCTTGCAGGATTAATAAAGTTGTTGATTGATTGATAAACGTTGTCTTTTGTGTACCCATTTCTAGGAAACAAACCCAGGAATGTATCGAATGAAACCAGTGTTGCGATACCGAAAACCTTTAAGGCAGCGCTGCACAAACCGAATGTCACCAGGCTGCTGCTGCTCTACCCCAGCTCAGGCCCCCGGCTGCAGGTGAGCCCGGAGGACGCAGTGACAGCCTACACCACGGGGGTCCTCAGCACCAGGGTCATCCCCTCATCATACATCCTGGCCATGCTGGTGGGCATCCCCTCCAACGCCTACATCCTGGCCTTCCTCAGACTCAAAGCAAAGCCTTTCTCCACCATAGTTCTTTACCTGAACCTGGCTCTGTCCGACCTGCTGCTGCTGCTCTCCCTGGCGCTGCGTGTTCATTACCACTTCAACGGGAACAATTGGATATTTGGGGAAATCTCCTGCCGGCTTATCACAGCCTTGTTTTATGGCAATGTTTACAGTTCAGCCCAAACTATAGCATGCATCAGTGTAAAGCGCTACCTGGCTGTGGTCAGGCCGTTCCTGTACAGAAGGCTGGCTAAGTCTACGCTGGCAGTGTGGTCCTGCTTGGTGGTCTGGTTCCTGTACGGTGTGGCTATTGTGCCTGAGCTCCTGGTCAGGCAGAGCTACCAGCTCACCCACCTGGGAATCACCACCTGCCATGATGTCCTGCCCCTGGACGAAAAAACCCATTCCCCATTGGTGCCATACAGGATGATGCTGGTTTGCCTGGGCTTCATAGTGCCATTCCTGATTTGTATCTATTCACATGTAGCAGTGGTATACCATCTTGGACAATCCTGTTGCGACTGGAAACCGTTTATCAGGGTCAGCACTCTGGTTTTCATCATCTTTGTCGTGTGTTTCTTGCCAAGCGGCATCCTGCATATCGCCCACTACATCCGTCTGTTTACCAGTGGGGACGACAGACTGTATGGATATTACAGAGTAGCGGTGTGTCTCTGCTGCTTCCACAGCTGTCTGGATCCCTTCCTGTGTATGCTCCTTTCCAAGATGGCTGCCTCAGAACTGCAATTTGTTTCTCTCCGCGGGATACAAAAGAGGCCTACTTCTATGACGTGAGACTGGATGTTTGTGCACAGAAACAGCTTCTCCATAATGGACCATTGTTGAGAATCAGCAGGGAAGCTCAAGCCCGACAAACAGGAATGTAAAATACTGAAGTCTGTGGATTCAACAGGGTGATAACGCAGTCTCTGTTCGACACAAACAGCAACATCCTTTGTGAAGATGATTTTAAAATATAAGGATCAAGAAGGGAAGATTTAGACTCTGAATCATACTATCATTGGGAAACTGTTGGCTTGATGAGACAGAAACATTGGAATAACAATTTGCTGTGGTCATCATTAAATGTATATAAAAACCAATTATTTTCAAAAAATGAGACTCTTGTATTTTCAGTCTTAAATTACGGGATGAGAAAGTTCCGTGAAAATTCAATAAAAGTCGTTTTTACATTGAGATGAAGTGACATGCGGTGACTACACTGGTTAATCCAGCCATTCGTTTCTTTGTGTTGCACTTTAAGGACGTGAGAGGCAGGAAATAGTGTAAAAGAAAACAATTTTCACATAAAAACATTATATGTTAACTCAATTTCAAGTCTCATTACCTGGCAGAGGAGTTGTTTGGTATGTTGTAGGACATCGTGGTAGTGTTTGGCTGTGGCTGGATTCACTCCTGTTAACTTGGCTGTAGGGAGGAGCAGGGCTGCAAGCGTCTGCTGATGATCACCGGAGTTAAGAGCTTCATTGACCTCAGCTATAGCTATGATACCTGGAAGTCGAAGGAAACAACTGATTAATCAGGGTATATGCAGGAATCCTGAAGTCACATGTAAAACCTTTTAAGACTTTTTTTAAGACCCTTTCCAAACATTTTAAGACCTCATCTCCACTTTGAGTTTTAACCGGTTACCTTGGCGACACACTTTACCTCACATTGACTATATACAGTATTGATTGTCCTTCCTCCTTATCTTCCAACCATTGGGACGCAAACTTGCATTTCCCCATAACGATGTTGTTTAACAACCGGCGTAAACGGACTTTCGGGCGCTATCAAGCAGTGAGCGTGCGATGTCCTGTTCAGATGACGTCAAATCCAACGGGATGCCATAAATAAACGACAGAATCACACTACACAATGGTAAATGGTCTGTACTTATATAGCGCTTTATCCAGTCTTTAAGACCCCTCAAAGCGCTTTTACATACTACATGTCATTCACCCATTCACACCCATTCATACAGAGCAGTGTACCTTACTCTAGGACCTAACATTCACACACGTTCACACACCGTTGGCCATCAGGAGCAACTCAGGGTTAAGTATCTTGCCCAAGGATACATCAACATGTTGACTGCATGGGCTGGGATTGAACCCACAACCTTCTGGTTGAAAGACGACCGCACTCCCTCGCAGCCACAGTTGCCCAGATGCAACATTCAGGCAGACTGTAGAATACAACCTCTTTGGACCATTTATATACTTATTGAAAACAAGCTACAAAATGTAATACCTTGGAAAATGACGTTTAATACTTTTTAATAACCTTCATTTTCGCTAAATTGATTTATCAACTTTTAATACTTTTTAAGACCCCGCGGACCCCCTGTTAATACATGATCAGAAAATTGTCTTGCATAAAATAACAACTGCAGGCTGAACAAGTCCTTTTATATCTTAAGCTACTCAAAGGTTCAAAAGGTTCAAAGGTGTTATTGTCATAAACACAGCTACAGTGTAGTCGTGCAATGAACATCTTGGGTCACAGGTTCCTCCAACAATGCAACATAAATGTATATATACACAACATAAAACAAATAAACAACAACAAGGAGTTGCAGTCATACTGTATGGCCTGTGGGTTAAATCTCTACATAAAACCTAAGCAGAAAGTGTCTTACGCTCATGCTCTTCATGGACCTGAACGTTGACAGTGTCGATGCATTTCTGAACATCATTCCAGGTGAGAAACTCTTGGCCTTTGGCAAGAGCCTCGCCTCGCAGTTGGATAAGAGTGTCTGCATACCTGAGGGAGAGGAAGTTCAACAAAGGTTCATGACATTTAAAGAACCCTTACTCATAAACCAATCCCAGTTAGTGCAACTTGATCAGAGCGATGCCTGCAGTGGAGTTCAGTGACATGCAACCTGAAGACAGTATGCCTGTTATTTTGAATCAAATAAATGTTTTGCTCTTAGACAGTGTTCATTTCGTCAACGAAAACTATGACGAAAAATGTTCGTCAACGACCTTTTTTACATGACTAAGACGAGAGGATGACGAGCTAAAAATAGATTCTTGATAACGAAAACTATGACGAAATGTATATTTAGTTTTCGTTGACGAGACGGGACTAAGGTGTTAATGGTGGACTATCGGACATTCAAAATTCAGCATATTTTCCCCCAAGTGTCCATCTTGTCTGTCAAAATGCATCTTACGTTTCTAACTTGCAATATCATTATTTCCGCTCTCTTCACTCCAGAAGAGCGATCTCCCTGTGTCTCTCTGTGTGCGGGGGGCGGGGCCTAACATACATGCTGCATCGGACACAGAGATCTGCCGGGGACGGAGCGTTCAGAGAGTATAGAGACGCATTTTGACTAAAATGTAATTTTTCATCGACTAAAAGTTGACTAAAACGTTTTGAGTTTTCGTCGACTAAAACTAGACTAAACTCACGTTTTGAGTTTTCGTCGACTAAAACTAGACTAACACGTTTTGAGTTTTCGTCGACTAAAACTAGACTAAAACTATGAAGGATAGGAATGACTAAAATGTGACTAAAACCAATAACCATTTTCGTCTAAAGACTAAATCAAAAACAGCTGCCAAAATTAACACTGCTCTTAAATCATCCTGTACCACCATGAGTGTGCATCAATGAGTGCCACAATATAGAAAAAAAACAACAGTGATTATTAAAAAAAAAACGACCAGCACCAAAGACAGCTATCTCATCCATCTCACCTGTTGAGGTTATCCTGGTCCATGTTGGTGAAGCCCAGAGGAGAGTCTGATAGTTGCTCGCTCACAGCCTGGGGGTCTTTGGTGTCCAGCACCTCATTCAGCACCGCTACCGCCGACAGCATCTCCACAGCCACACTCAGCTCCTCGTGGCTCAGGCCAGACTGAAAACACGTAAACAAAGTCTGACTCACAAGCATGAAGTGATATTCACAGAAACTACGGTACGTGTGTAGACTGGCCTCCCCTTTACCTGCACGGTCTTTGGGTCAACATACTTTAAAGAGTGGAAACATGATGTCTCACCCGCGCGCCTTGCAGCTGCAAACTGAACAGCTCAGCCTGGTAGAGGTTGGCAGCCGTTTGGTAGACGATGGGCAGCTGTGCTTCAGGGTTCGTCAGCTCCTCCGCTGTCTCCGCTGCATTGCCCAGACGAATGGCTGTGTTGATCGCTGCAATCGCCTCGAGTTCTGGTAAAGAAAATGATCACAGAAAGTCATGTAGATACCCTAAGGCATGTCAGCATTACACTATGTTCTTTGTCTAAAGATAATAATGAAATTACTTTAGAAAAAAGATTAAAAAAGGTGTATAATGAGCCGTACTGGACAATGTGACAGATTATGCATTTGTTCTTTGAGAAGTTTTCTAATGGGTACATACAGTATGTGATTTCACAACTGACCGGTAGTTATGTGTTAAAAACAAGGTGGGTAACAAAACGTGCTTACTTCGTTTCTCTGCCTCAGCAAAGTCATTACAAGAGGTGACGACTCTCTGAATCTCCTCTCTGTCCACCAGCACAGACTTCCCTTCATCCTGCAACACAAAGATTAGTTTACACTACAGAGAAATGACCAACATCCAGTGATGATTCAGCATGTTTTAATAAAAGGGCTGTGGAGGGCAAGGTGGTTTCCATACCAACTGAAATTGCAATGGCTGATTAGTTTTTCTCTGATGCACTGTCTTCACTACCTATGACTACGGTTCCCCTCAAGGACTCTGCATTCAGATACACTGCCTGGTAGTGAAATCAGTGTCTACATGTTATCCTCACAGCAGAACTCAAAAGTAAAAGACATTTTTTTGAGTCAGCTGGACAAACAAAAAAGCAGACAGAACCTTTACAAAACTGGACTTTTTTCTAAGAAAATACTGCAAAGGTGTATGATTTGTTCCTATGCTAAACACCTGTTTAAAAATCTTATTACAAGGACATGTATACAGTAGGTTGCTAACATCGTTTTTTTTTAACTATGGCTCTCAGGAGCCTCAAATATTGCTTTTACTCTAGCCTGCCTTACTTATTGTACACAGTACTCTTACCAACTGAAAATACATGATTTAACAAACAACTGGGAAAGAAGACTAGAGGGGCTCTGACTCTTAAGGACATGAACTGGGGACAACCAAGCAAACAAGCTGTGATTCAGTACCTTAGATTTATGTTGGCAGTAGGTGGTGAAGTGCTCCAGGTACCAGCTGCAGTTTGACTGCTGAACCCCGAGTAGGGCCAGAGCGTCCAGCCTGAAAGCAGCCAGCAGAGAGGCCTCGTCCTGGGCCGACACCGCTTCATTCACCTGCCTCACCGCTGCCTGCACTGGAGGGGGAAAACCACGCAGACGCTATTTAGGGATATGTGTTTTCTTTAAGAAGTGCTACAAACAAAAATCAGATTCTATGCAATTTCATTCCTTTAACTTTGGCTCCTCTACTGTATATACTGTCGAGTTCACGTGTGTTATGATGCACCAACAAGGTACAAAGGGTTTAGTTTTACATACATAAAGGAAAGCAGTCATGTTTTTTTGACAGTGTTTTAGTCAAATTAGCTATATGAGGATCACATTGGAGAGAAAGTCCTTACTGTTGACAAAGTCAATGGAGCCCTGGATTTCCAGGTGAGTCACCAGCTCCTCATAAACATCTCTTTCTTCAGTAGCAACGGATGAGCGCTAATTAAAGAAGAGAAGGGTAAACATTAATATCCATTTTTTAATTTCACATCACATTTTTTAGTCACATACATGTTTCCCCATTCAAACTGATTAAGTAACATATTAGACATATCGGACTCTAGCCAATTAGAGGAAATGGACGACGTATGCTTGTCCAGGGTTTGTAAAGAGAATAGGAGGCGAGATGCCGGACGGTGCCGAGGGTTTGTGTTTGGTGAAGTCCAGCTGACTCTGCAGCCACTGGAATGTGCTGGCCTCTGCAGTGACTCAGTGAGGCAACCCCTTTCAGACCTCAGTTGTTATAGCGGTCAGTACTACACAGGGCAGTCAAAACATCAGCTCAGCGCAAGGGTCCTGTTCACATTTTTTTTGCATTACTCAGATTTGTTCTCAATGTTTTGTTATTTCATTTCTGTGTCACTACTTTCAGACAGACGCTTAAGGCAGAGAAGGGTTGTGGTTATCAACCTGAATCGACCAGTCTTTGTAACTCTGGTCCCACCTTTGGTTGAATACTGATGTGAGATTGTATACATTGGCTTTAGTGGAGAGGTGTTT